GTCTGACTATTCTAATAAAAGCTGCAAATGGATCCACACGCTTCTGACTCGTCACAACAGTTTCCTTGTCCAGTGTTAAACATCTTAATGTGCTACGTGTGTCTCCAGCCTGCCCTGTGTTACCCTGCGTTTGGATTTTTAAAGACTGTTGTTTATGTATGTGGTTGAGTTCAGCCAGCTCGCAGTTTTAACGGCGTTCGATGACGCTGTGCTGAACTCACTGTTCTGTATCGGGGCCAACTACCATTGCCCCGTCGACCTCCCAGACACCACCGGACTGAGCTGGAGGGAGGCGATTATCCGGTGTCTGGAGAGTGTCCTGCCCCAATCCAGAGCACAGCCAGACCCAGAGCCCAGCCTACCATCTCCCCACTGTGCGGAGCCCAAGCCCGAGCCCACCAATGACGGAGAGCAATGACAGTTGCCCACCGCAACCGACGAGCCATCGCCGCACAGAGCGACAGAGCTGAGGATCGCCGCAGAGCCGATGCTGCAAGTGGCACCTTGCATTTTTGTCTGAAATCCTAATAAGTCTGATTGCTAATATACAGCATCATGTTTGTGAAGTTTCAGTGTCTTTAACCACTCTAAAGTTGTAAATAATGGTCAGTCTAATCGTAGCCTTTGAGCTGCTTTTCCTGGTCAAATCCACTCAACCCTACAATGAGACTCCATTGATGTGCTTTTAGGACATGAAGGACATTTATGCTCTTAGTAGATGTTTTATCATCTACACTGTTTTCTAGAAAGTTCACATATAGTGTAAGTGGCAAATACTAGAATCTGTAGCTCTGTGATATAATGAATATGAGAAGAATGAAGCTGATGCTGTGAAAGTGCTGGATTGAGGTGAGTTACTAAAGATAAGTCAACAAGAGCTGTACAAATCTGATGTTCCTGCAGGTTATTGGGTAAAGTGTGGAGCTGATGAGTTTTTATTTCTGTTTTATGTAGAGTTTCCAGTCTCACTCAGCACCTCCTGAATATACAGACGTAAATGACGATCCCTTAATTTTAATTGGAAGATTTCTGCAAAGAGGAGCTCAAGAAGATCTCAGACAGAGGTAAAGTCTTGGAGATTCATCTGCTTTTAGAAACGAGTCCATCATTGCATATCATGGAGGACACCATATTAGAAATGTCTTAGGAATGGATGCAGGATCATGAGACTCACACTGTTAATTTCTGTTGATTTCCACAGTCACATTCACCAGCATTGTTCTCTGGACCAGGAACGACTTCCTACAATGTAAGTCAGTAAGAAAACAAGCAGAAAACTCACTGAGTGTCTTCATGTTCTTCCTGTAGAAGGTGAAAGAATAGTTTTATAATTGATTATGTAAATGGTGATTTGCACAGGATATCTGGTCATCTGTACTGAGACACTGATCATACACTGGACATGAAGAGTTCAGCTACATGAAAAGATCTAACAGATTCATAATTCTTGATTCTGATGTGTTTTATCTCCATCAGATTCCCATCAGTTCACTCTGGATCTGAACACCGTAAATAAACGCCTCCATCTGTCTGAGAGGAAGAGAGTGATTACTCACACTAACAAAGTCCAGTCGTATCCTGATCATCCAGACAGATTTGATAGTTATTCTCAGGTGTTGTGTAGAGAGAGAGTGTGTGGGGACGCTGTTACTGGGAGCTGGAGTGGAGTGGACATGTGTTTATATCAGTGTCATATAAGAGCATCAGCAGGAAGGGATTGGGTAATAAAGGTTTGTTTGGATCTACTGATCAGTCCTGGAGTTTGTATTGCACTCCCTCCAGTTACTCATTCAAACACAGTAACATTTGGACTGATCTCAGTGTAAAGCCCATCAACAGTAGAATAGGAGTGTATGTGGATCACAGTGCAGGAACTCTGTCCTTCTACAGCGTCTCTGACACAATGAGCCTCATCCACACAGTCCAGACCACATTCACTCAGCTGTTCTATCCTGGGTTTGGTGTTTATAATGGATCATCAGTGAAACTGTGTTGATGAATCAGAATAGATTGATGAGAGATTCTACCCATAATTCTTTCAGCTGCTTGATAAATCAGTGACAATGAGATGTTATAGAGTTTCTTCTTTTCTCTTCATGACATTAATAATGCAGCTGTACTTGTGTTACTGAAATAACATGTCCGAATGACTGTTTGTAATAAATCCTCATATAGATAGTAAGATCAGTGTGTGTTTGTGTGTGTGTGAGTTTTGCCGAGTGATGAAATGTATTAGCTCTCAATTACATTGTTATCCCCTGTCTACTGCCAGTTTGGTTCTGTTCTTTTGTCTGGTGTTATCGAGAGGCCCAGCTCATTCCCACCACAGAAATCAAGCCTGAGTCAATGCCTGCTAAGGAGCTAGAGCCAGCAACCACATACATCCCGGAAAAGGAGCCCATGGTCCTGGCTGATCAGGTGTGTGAAGCGGCCAAATCGTCCATATCAGTGAGGATTTTAGTGGAACTGGATAAGCAAATATAGTTAATTGGCTGACAAGTGGAGGTAGTGCTTCCCAACCTGCCCACCCATGAACCTTCCACCTGTGTGTTTTCGTTGTCACTGATTCCACTTAGCTGGTGTCTTTGTTGTCACCAGTCACACCCAGCACATAGTGTTCTTCATCGCACCAGTCCTGTCCATCACTGAGTCTGCTTCCTCACCCAGTCTTCCTCTTCTGTACGCTCCACTGAAGCCAGCCATTCCTTCAGCTCCACCATCAGCCTCTGCCATGCAGCCCTGATCTGCCTTAGGGCTTCCAGTCCCCAGCTCTGCCCTGGCTTGAGGAGTCCAATGCTCTGCCTCGTCCCTTGGTCGACCAATCAGCTCCGCCCTGGCTCCTTGCCCCCTAGGCTCCACCCAGGACCATTGTCTTGTTGGTTCCTCCAGGCTTCCTCATGCCACTGGCTTTGCCCTGGTCAGTCATCGTTCCACCATTGCCATGGACTCCATCACTTCACCCCTACGGCTTCATCAGGCTTCTCTTTCCTCAGGCTCCATCTTTTCTTACTTTATCATCACCACATCCTCTAGCACCCTGGCTCCTCTTCAGCTGCTCGATGCCGGAACTCCACCTTGGTCTCTAAATCCTTCGATTTTACCAGGTCTCTCTGTCCGTCAGATGTCACCTGGACCTCATCTCCCAGTGTTACCTCTGTTGGTCACGCTCAAGTTTCCTCCTTCAAGGTTCCTCTCACTGTCATCTCCTCAGCTCCTCTCACCATCTACACCTTGGATTCATCAGTTGCCTGTTCTTCACCAGGCTCTTGTCCACCTTCAGGGATACCTCCTAGGTCATCTCAGGCTGTGAGGCCGTGCCTTCCCAGTAAGGGGGCATTGTCACAATTATGTTCTGTTTTGGTTCTGTCATCCTTGTGTGTTGTTAGACCTAGTTTCTCAGTTTGTTTGATTAATCATTCCTTTACCTGTTGCCTCATTAGTTAGCTTGTTACCCCCGTCTATTGGTTCTGTTCTTTTGTCTGGAGTTGTCTGCATTTACTTCAGTGTTATGGTTGTGTTTTACTTACTATTTTGTATCTAAATCTGTTTTATCGTCCTCATCAGCACAAACAAGTTCTGATAGGTTAATGACCATATTGACATGTAAACAAATCAAATATATGTATTTTTAGTGTTCAAGGGTTAAGTGTGGATTATTTTTTTACTTTACATTTTTAGGATTTAATTAATTATTAACTTTTTATCAACTCACAAGCACACTACAGTTCTTACATTAAGGCCAGTTTGTGAAACGCTGATGTAATGTTTAATGCATTTTATAATGCTGATTATAAAAAAATAAATATATTATTCTCTTTGCCTTTTTATTTTAATATGGTATGTTTAATACTAAGTTTAAAGGGTTAGTTCGTCCAAAAATGAAAATTAGACCAAGTCTTACTCACCCCCAAGGCATCTTAGGTGTATATGACTTTCTTCTTTCAGACGAATCCAATCGGAGGTATATTAAAATTTATCCTTGCTCTTCCAAGCTTTAGAATGGCAGTAGACAGTGTTTTTTTTTTTTTTCAACAGTCCAAAATTAGTCAAATAAAATGCATCCATCTATTATAAAACGTGCCTCACGGGGGCCTCCTGTAGCGAATCGATGCGTTTTTGTAAGAAAAATATCCATATATAAAACATTATAAATAATAGCTAACAATCATGTCAATAAAGTTATGTTTATTTCTGTTATGTCTTATGTCTATTCCTATGTCAGCAGGTTGCGATAAATGAGCTTCTGTATTAGCTTTGTATTAGCAAGTTATTAAATATTTACTTGAAGCTTAAAGTTGAGAACTTGCAACTCGACTTGGACATGCCCGTCTTGACTCGGGATTTGACTTGGGACTTGTCTGTCTTAACTCGAGACTTCACTTGGGTCTTGTCTTGACTTGGGACTTGACTCGAGACTTGAATGTAAAGACTCGAGACTTACTTGTGACTTGCAAAACAATGACTTGGTCCCACCTCTGGGTGCAACCATTCAGGCTGTAGACTCTTGGACTCTCGATTGCCAAAGAAAAGACTGACTGTTCTTTCATGCCTCTTTAAATTGTTGCACTTTAAAACACTTATGGACTGTTCTTTTTCATAAAATGTTGCTTTGATATAAAAAGTGAACTATCATGTTTGGGACAATCCTGGAATGTTAAAATGCTGAACAGTTACAAGAACTCTGGCACTACAAATATGTGTGAAACCCTATGAAATATGTGGAGATTACATTTATTTTTGTAGGGGAGTGTGTGATAGATTAAAATGGTAATTAAGAAATGTCATAATATAATCCAAAAAGGAACATGATTAAAAAGAGTTCATAAAATGATTAAAAAGTTTAAAATTGTTTGTTCAAATAATGCAAATGGAGAGTTAGTTTTCATGGTTTCTTGTGGATCTGTGATATATTAGTTAAACTAAGGTATGTTGGTGATTGATTAGTTTTGCCTGACGATACACTAGGGGGAACTTTCGCGGGTTTTCTCAATCTGCATGAAGTTTCAGCAGAGAGAACACCGCTGGAGTTTCGTCTCGTATTAATATTTTCCCCCCTTTTCAGGTATGAGGGATAATGTTTGGTAAAAAGTATAAAATGGGTTAATGCATAATGTTTCACTTTTTTATAGTGGCTATTTTAACTGTTTTATGTGTTTGAATGAGTTAAAGCTGATGCACAGTAAAGAGCATTGGTAAGAGGGTGTGTAGCGACTCGGAAAGCACCAGATGTGCATGTGGAAATTTTATGTTAACAAGTTAGACTTTGATGTTTAATGTGTAAATGAGTGTTTATTCTAAAATTAATTGTTTATTTGTGCCTGAAATGTGTTTATAATAGGAGAACAATGGAAATGATATAGGAAAAATAGACAGATACATACACACACACACACACACACACCCATATGTGTGTGTGTGTGTGTGTGTGTGTGTGTGTGTATATATATATATATATATATATATATGTGTGTGTGTGTGTGTGTGTATACATTGAGAAATTTTTAGTATGTATATATGAGAATTAAGTTATTGAATAAAGAAAATGGTTTAAAAAGTACATGTTTATTTACAAGAGAGAAATGTTTTGATTATTTTAAGTGTACAAGTTAATAGTTAACTATTTGTACAATTAGTAAATACAGTATTAAACTATAATAGTTCTGGACCCTTACAGAAACCGAGCAATGTTCTGAAAATGTGCTTTATTGGAATTTGTCTTATCAATCTGCATAAAGTTTCAGTAGATTTCAGTAGTTTTCTCTAGTACTTCTGTCATAATTAGGATGCAGTTATTACTGCACTTCTGTTTTCCTCTTTCTCTGTAACTTGCATTTTTTTGAGTGTTTGTCTGAAACTGACATCTAGTAGACATTTCATGCTTTACAGACTCACAGACACGCCAGTTTTACACACATCACTCAAACACAGAAACAGGAATCACATGACTTACGGGAAAAAGAAAGCAAAAGTGTGACTGAGTTGTTGTGTGTTTGTTTTTCTGTATTCATGCAGTAAAATGGCAGAAGCCAGAATTTCTCAGGATGAGTTGACGTGTCCAGTGTGTCTGGATCTCCTGAAGGATCCCGTGGCCATTCCCTGTGGACACAGTTACTGTAAGAGCTGTATTACAGGCTGCTGGGATCAGGAGGATCAGATGAGAGTCTACAGCTGCCCTCAGTGCCGACAGACCTTCAGTCCAAGACCTGCTTTAGAAAAAAACACCATTCAGGTTGAACTGGTGGAGAAATCGAAGGAGACCAAACTTACTGCTGACTGTGACGCTGGAGTTGGAGATGTGCAGTGTGACGTCTGTACTGGAAGAAAATACAAAGCCGTCAAGTCCTGTCTGAATTGTCAAGAGTCTTACTGTCAAACTCATTTTGATCATCATGAGGAATTTCATTCACGTAAATCACACAAAGTGACTGAAGTCACTGGACGACTGCAGGAGATGATCTGCCAGAAACATGAGAA